GAGGCGAACATGGATGGTCTTCAACTCCCAGATATCCAAATTCTTACTGGTGAGAGCCTGGTCGATCTGGAGTACGCAGATGACATCGCCCTCATCTTTGAAGACCATAGTGAAGCACAAGCCCTGTTAAATAAACTGACCACCATCGTACCATCTTTTGGCACGCGCCTTACACCTTCAAGGTACAAAGTCCTGCTTCAAAAAGTGCCATCTGTGAACATATCCCTTACAATTCAAGGAGAATCACTGGAGATTGTGGAAAACTTTACATATCTCGGTAGTTGTATTAGCTCTGACTGAGATGTGTCTGATGAAGTCTGTGCGAGAATCTCAAAGGCATGAATCATGTTTGCTAACTTGCGTCATTCGTGGCGTCAAAAAGACATCTCACTAGCAGGCTAAAATAAAGGCTGCGTTGTTGTATGGCTGCGAGACATGGCCTCTGCGGGTAGATGATGTGAGGCGTCTTCAGGTTTTCGACGACGGACGCCTCAGAAGCGTGGCTGGTTTCGGATGGCGTCAGCAGATTAGTAACGCAGTGATTAGAAAACGGGTATTTAGTTGTGCAGCTGGTAATTCGATCAGGGAAAACATCCAACACCATCATTTGCAGTGACTCGGTCTTGCGCTACGCATACTGAAACACCATCTACGGAGACGAGTATCGTTCTCTATACCGCCTTCGGAATGGCGCGAACCGCAAGGTAGACGATTTGGCAGAAGGGCGTGAGTGAGATTACGAGAAGTTTGGGTGTTGTTGGTGTCATACGCCTTCCAGGATGGGGTCCCCGTGACCCCGTCTGTGCTTCGCTGGAGACATTGCAAGAAATGGCGGCTAATCGATGTGAGCGGCGTTCGTGCTGTCAGTTTTTTCCAGATTGTCTGATCGAGCGGTTGGAAGTGTAGGCACTTCAGAATACTAGACATGGGCCAGCACTAGGTCCCCTCCCGTATCAACTCTTTTTCTTTTCTTTTCACTCTAAGGCTTTAAATATAATTGGATAAACTTTATGGTTGTACGGCAGTAAAGCATCAGTCTCAACACTGATGTTGCTGTCTCTGATAATGATGATGCGTTAACATTAAAAACATTTAAGAAAAATCTAGAACCGCTATTCTTTCGTCGCTTTTATCCATGTAATGTGTGAGGAAAGATTGCAAAATTGGAAACGAAAGACTGTCCTGTATCAGATATGCTTCTGATACAAGCGCGATTTAGTCGCTCCAAGGGTGCACGCTGTTCGAGATGATCCGTTGGAAAATAAATAGACCAGGGTCACCGTAAAAAGTCTGTATAGATCAGTCGATATTCTGCTAGATGAAAAACTTAACAGCGGGTAGCTAATCCACCGAACTTCACCGTTAAATAGTTAGGACTGACTAATCAGCTGGCTAAATTCTTCCGAACCCAGCGTCCTGACGGACTAGGCGTTGTTGTTTCGCTGACCGTAAACAAAAGCACCACCCTACCTGCATTCCACAGAAAGAACTCATACCCCCTTGCAAAATGCAAGTTTTCCAAATCGTAGCTTCCCATGCTGGGGAGAAAAACGTCAGATTGAAAATCCAGATTACCCGAGCTCCGATTGGTGCACCAAATCCGTTAATTTTACGGAGCATTGCGCACAGGACCGTCTGCGTTTTCTTGCGCTCTTCCTCCAGACGAAAAAACGCATCTGGTGGTGATGGTGCGGAACGCCGATGCCNGTGAACCGCCTTTCAGTTCACGAATCCATCTCACACACGGATAGAGACGCACCCACACGTACACACACCCACATGCCTAATTGCCATGCTACCAGTAGGGAGTCTTCAGGACTGGAAGAGATATAGCAACCCATAATAAGAGTTGTTATTTTCCACATGCTGGTCTGCCCTTCTTCAGGAACGGGGGTGGAGCTACTACATCTAATATGGAAAATCAGGGTTGATCCCAGCGGGTAACACACCATCGGGTAGCTCCTGGTGTGATCTGTATACGCCATGGGAACGCCTGGTGTGCGCTCAGGCCGGTTGTTTACGTCCGAGCTCACCCCCAGATGAAACTACAACGTCAACCCCCCGACAAATGTTTGGCCGATTTTTTCCGTTGAAAAACAAGCGAAATCAAGTGAACCGTGAAATGTTCGAACTAACATCTGCTGTTGTCGACCTGTCTGTTGAAGTGATTGAATTTAACTGAGAACTAATAGGTATGCTCCAGTAGACTGTGTCGGACATGGGATGCAACAACCTATGCAAATCAATAGGCAGTCATGTCATCCGGAGGATCTTTTCTTCTTAGCACAACATACTACTCACAACGCTGCTGAAAATTTTTCAAAGGCTCGCTACCGGTTCCACTCATCTTGCACCACATATGGTAGGCATAATTAGCCATTTTTCCCGCAACTTTACGTCCTAGCAGAACACTGGCGAATAATACTCATTTAGAAATTTCATTGTTGTTGAGTCTCTCTAAAGCCGACGTAATTGTAACCTTTCATCCTGTCTGTAATGCGCACTGAGATGCGAACAAAAGTTACCTGGACAGCAGAACCTGAAGAGCAGTATAGAAGTTCATTTGATGTGCTGGCGTATGCATCATGCATGCAAGGTGACTGCACTGTCCAGTGCAGTAGAATGTTTAATCGTCCCCAGAAAAATTCTCTAAGACAGAGGAAAAAGGTATAAAACTAATCTCCCTTTAGACAACAGCAACTGGTGTCAGATATGGTTCATTTTTCCCTCCTTCCTGAAAATTAACACTCCAGTCGATAAGACGCCTCGAAAACGTTTCTCCGAAAGGGAGTTTTGTGCAAGAAAATCATGGATACCATTTATTGTGTGCAAAACACGATTAAGAAACGGAGTGCGTCGGACGGACGAGGCTCTGCTAAACTAGAAGATTTATATGTTGCCGCGTTTTCAAGAGTGGGTTTCCACAAAAGTTGTCTCGAATAAACCATTAGGCTACCATGCATGACTATCCACCTTGGCTTTAGCAATTATACGGCCACGTGTAAATGTAGACGATCGATTGATACAAGAGAGATGCCCCCTTGATTAGGGTTTGTCTGATTACACCTACAGAAAACTGTGAACTACTTGCAGAAGTTACTCATACGATAGCGTCTGACAAAACTGAGTCATGCAGTGTTGTACAGTGTTATTCACAAGTCGTGAAGTTTACCAACTTCAAGAGTTTTTAACCCAATGTCACCTGCGATGAGCCATTGACGGTGGGATAGTTGTACGAGGTGCAACAGAAAATCGTCAGTTCGTACGGGCGCTTTTTTAAGAAGTCCAAAAACTGTCCTTCGGAGCTGTACCATCGATGCTGTCGAGATCATAAACCAAAAAACCGAAAAGTGAGGTTTTACAGAACTGCGAAGCCGTTCTGGAGTTGAAAAAAATTCCGATGATCTCAGCATCTATTTGTGACCTTCAGTTGTTGCAAAATGAACTAGGGTGAGTCCAGATGAATGGACAGCATTCGGCAGCATGCATCTTTCAACAGATACTATCGACCGATTTTCAATCGCTGTTTCACGATTCCCCCAGTCCGCCATAACCGCATGCGCCTCGAGAGAGTACTGATAAATGCATTGTTAAGAAAGCACAATATGACTCTTACTACTGATGTAATCAACGGAGTGGTTAAACTGTTGTTGGTCACCTGCAATTTAACGCATGCATCGACAAGTACGAATTTTTCATAAAACGGGTCAAATACAAACTATGTAAAAGGATTTTATCACTATTACATTATTGATGACCGAATAACTATCCCCTGAAGAGAGCCTCTATCAATTTCCGAATAAAAAACGGTGCCGATACATGTACTTACCTTTTTTCCGTTCCGTACGACTTTTGAGCGACTTTGGCATGAAGGATAACAAGGACCTGATCTCGCCTGTCGGCTAAATAAGCAGTCATCATTTGACGTGTGAGTGCTCCAAGGGGCTCCACGTGGACTGCTTCGTCGAAATTAGTGTGTTCAGTAGACAAGTCGCTCCGGGGTAAATGAGAGTAACTGAGTGAGCTAGGAACACGGTTCATTTGGGAGAGATCTGGAAATTTATTTGACGTAGACGGAACATGCTCTTCTTTCATCAGGTTGTGGTCTCCAAAGGTGGTATCCGACTGGGTCAGCAAAGCGTTGGTTGAGGAAATTGCTGTATCATCAGCCGTAGCGCGATTGATATGAGAACGGCCGTTGGGGATGTCTAAAGCGGTATCCGGGAGACATGTCTGGGAGTTGAATGCGGTTTTGTGCAAACTGCTAAACACCTGTGGGCTTTGGAGTAATTGACTGTAACTGGCAGCTGGGGTTAATGGTTGTTGTGAGTGTTGTTGCTGTAGGGAGGACGAGGATGGAGAGGAATGCATTTGCCCATAGAGGTCACTCGGGTGTTGGACAGATGTGAAGGCACCGCTGCTGTAGTGTGGCAGACTAGTCCGAGTGAAATGTAAGTCTAGTGCATTTTGGTTGATCAGTTGTTCCAAATGGGCCGACGCATTTGTGGCAAGCTCCATCACGCTTGTTCGACCGGTCGGTTCTGAAATTCGACCGTTTTCTGTCGAGTCGCGCAAATGCGTATTGGTCTTGGGTCTGAACGACGAAATCGGAAAATATAAGCCCATATATGGCGTGCTAATAGGGCTAACAAAAGCTTATGTGGTTTAACCAACTCAATACGTAACCCTCTGTCATTGATGCGACACAGAAAGCCATACTGAGCTGAAATTGAGTGTTTTCCTTTCTATAACTTGTAATAAACTGAGCTAAAAGAAAATGGACAGCAAAAAAGTAATGAAAAGTGCATTGGTTGACTAATCACCGACCTTCTGACCACTTTTGCTTCATTCCAAAAAATGATTTCCAGATCCTTATTGGTTGAAAAAACTAGTATGCAATGGAGGGTACAGAAATAGGAGATTAGGACGTGAGCCAGTAAACCGTGTTTTAAACTCTCCTCTGACCACCCTACTGTCTGGGTTCCATTAGTCTGGTGTTAGTTTTTGTCCCTATTTCGTGCACAGCAACTGTGCACCAAGAGAGTAAACTTAAATTTGGCCAGCCACGAAACTCAAGGTCTCAATGGGAGGAAGGAGCTTGGGCTGCGCAAATATGCTTCCATAAATTTATCCACCTGGATCCGAGCTAAGGTATGGTGTTCAACACTGGAAGAAAGAAAGACTACAATGCAACAAACGAATGAACCAATGAGAACAGAAATACTGAAATAGAGATGTTTGACGAACCGGTCGACCGCAAGGAACCAAGACCAGAACGCAACACAGATTGCAAATGGGCCAATCAAGTCGCACGCAAGACCTTGAAGTCCACCAATTACCGTAGAGACGATATACTTTAGATACAATGTAAACGCAAGCAGGATGGAACTAAACACCCTCTCAACCGTACTGGCGACATCCTTTCGGCTGGGAACGGAATGATTATAAACCAATTGCCAAACCAGAAGAATAGCAGTACTAGACCAGTATTACAACTATCTCTCTAGGACCTAAAGAATACCTTGTTAATTTGAATTCCAATATACCAAACTGACAGACTCATAATAAGGTTCTAAGATAACTGTGGCACTTATTGGGCAAGAAGTTCCTAAACTTGAAAACCAGCTTTCTGCCTAGGTTAAAAACGCAGATGAATTCGAAGTGTCATGTAAAGGGAACTGCTGATAGCTGATACGGAAGAGAGGCCTTCTATCAACTACGCCTCACTCTATGTGACATCAAAAGGAGATGAGGGAGACCCACTATGATTAGTTTCTTCGCAGGAGAGAAAATAACGCTCCAAAAGTCTCGTGAAATGGGACCAACAACAACGGCTGGCCCCTAATCCACCTACACGTGTATCGGAGTTGTGAGCACAGTTGTGGCTCAAAGTGGCAGTCAGGATAATCCGAAGCACGATCGAAGCTACAACAATCTTTTGTGACACAGCAAAGTTCATTACACCCACACGACCTACGACTCCGAGTCTCTTATGTGCTTAAGTCAAAAGTTGTCGAAAATAAGATGTAAATATGTGGTGAATTCCAGGTTGCTCATCATATAAAGCTTTCATCCTACGGCGTAACGCGGATAAATGTTCAGTAAAATCCACGTGGCACACTCCGTTTTGAAGATGATTTTCTCGGACCCAGCCAGGCGACCAACAAGAATAGCTGCATTCTTGTTGGTTCCGGATTCATAGAATGTGACCAGCTTCTCCTCTCGAGACAACAACAACTAGGAAGTCAGATTCCAGATACTCCTTGGCACAACCCGTCAGTATGCGCTGGCCAGTATGAATTTGAAATAGGAAGTCCCATAACCACATCCCTTGGTTTCCAACGCAAATGGGCTTTTAAGTACTGGCCGATGTTAGAAAGCATGGGGTATTCGGTCTTCCATTTTACCCACAATGTTCACAGATTATCTGCGGTGGACCTTCTGGAATCAACGAAGCACCTTGATCATACCAAATCCCTACCAACCACATAAAGTCGGCTTACATATGAAAACTATGAGAATGCAATTAACTTCGTAAATGGTTGATGAGAGCACCGAATTCCATTGAGAGGTTGACTGTCGATGAAACCGCACTCTTTCTAACTTGCTCAACGAAACATGTGCACAGTGATATTGACTAACCATTGCGGTTTGCATCCAGGACTTGGAAAAACAAAGTAGGATACAGTATATGTATGGTTTCAGTACCACCGAAATTCCTCCTTCGAACAACGCTTATCGACTCCCCAGCTTCTGAAGAATGCTCAACATGTAATGTGTGAAGAGTAGGTGAACTCAAAATTCGATAACAGCTGATGGTTTGTTTTAACGAGTGACAATTGGAATCGGTGGAACGAGGAAAGCACATTTCGTATAGGGTTGGAATTGTATTGAAATATTTTTTTCTGAAGAGAGATCGCTCCAAATGGAGGCCATTACTCTGGAGTTAATCTTGTGAACCAGACTATGTATTGAGTTATCCTTCCCCCTTTGAAAGGTCAAACGCCCCTTTCATTGTGGCAGTCTTGTTTGAAAGGTGAATGTGGTAACCAGGATTCGACAACATGGTTTAAACACATTGGATAAACCCCATCCTGACATGGAAAACGTCCAAGTGAGGACGATGTGTCAAACTCTCAGACTTGTTCATACTCGCAGTAGTACCCTCTGTCTGTATACTAAGAATGCATGTATCAACAGGCGAGTATGACCACATGACTAGCGTGAGAGTCAGGGATGAGTCAGGAGTGCCACTGCAGCTCAAGTGCATGATGCTTACAACTATACCAAAGTGATATACATGATAAGTTTGGCCAGCTCTCGATTCACTATCTAATGCTATGCAACCCTCACAATAATTCATCTGAGCGGTTGAATTACAGTACTGTTAGAGTGAATCTAGAACAACATCAAGTCCGTACTTAAACCTAAGGTGGTATTAACACCGCTCGAATCAAAATGCTTGCACTCGAAACTGGAATGGTACGCACAAAAATCGACCAATCCCTCTAACTCAGCTGCCTTGAGTCCTCCAAATTTATAGGGTTGCTGCTTTGCGCAACAACTCCGCCTAGCAACGCTTGCAGACCTTCGCAACATAGTTCCATTGAAGCTCTTGTTTTACCGTCTATTCGAAGTCATCTGGCGTCCGACACCGCACTTGGCCTGCATACACCTATTACGTCAGTGTTTCTCAGCCAAAGAAGTAAGGTTGCAGGATATCTGCTGTTCGGAAACTTTGGTTAGTATTGGATGGTTGAGGGATTTGAGAAATTTACATTCATATCACTTTCGTTTGAATAGTTCTTGCGCAATTATTCCGATGAATCCACACGTAAAAGTGGAAGCACTGGATTGGAGGTTGGCTCTTATTAGAACTCAACAGCACTTCATGATCATGCCGCGATTTCAACTTCGGACGTCTAACATGCAAGACCAGCTTGTTAGCACTAGTCCACCAGCGCACGCTGGACACACTTTGGTGTCTTTACCGAACTAGATACTGAGGACAGTCAGACACCAAAGCATTTCGAAGCGAAAGCTGTCACAAAAAATAGGAGCAAGCGACTGAATTCATGGTATTTAAGGACCTGCCTATAAAGTTGCTCGAAGAAGGGTTCGCTTCATTTATGGATCAAATCAGAAGCTGACACCATTCCGAATTTTGCGAGAATAGTCTACTTGTTTGGTTCTTTTAACTGCTAAACAGTGTATTTCCTGTTAAATTTCTCAGACTGACATGTAACCCTCCTTTCCGGTGAAAGTTTGCACTGAGAGAGGGGATTACCACGATGGATTATCCCTAATCATCCCAACTGAGCGACGAGGCCTATTGTATGATTGCGTACAGTCGCCGGTCATCAGGTGTCTGACTCTATGATCTTAGAATATGTTGAACCCACAAACATCCGGATGGTTGCTGTGTCCAGTTCAGGGTTATATATGCACGTTCTCAAGGAAAGAAGCTGAGTGCGGAGTCTAGTTTACAAAACTACCATGCAATGAATCTATCGAGCAAAACGATGCAGAAAAGCGTACTTACTCGGGATGACTGAATGCACTGTCAAAGTTAGGACCGTAGGACGTCTTTTCGTGGGTTCGGTTGGCAAGTGACAAGTAAGGTTGATAAAAGGAATAATCTAGACGGGATGAACCGTTACCGCAACCTTCCAGACTGTTACCGGACGACTGTAGGTTGTACAACGTAGAATGGGTAGGCTGTGCAGACAAATTGGCAGAGGTAAATTCCTCCTGGCCAGAGGATCTAGTGCCCGTGGAAGGTTTACTTGAATAATAGAGTTGCTCATGAACAGTGGTCGATGAGGTCAAAGATTGTGCCACAGCTGCGGCTGCCGCCACGGCAGCAGCTGGGTACAAAGCGGCCGCCGCCGCAACTGCTGCTGAAGAGCCGACAGCAACCGGTAGTCCACTTGTGTGGTTGGTGGAATTAGGAGGAGGTGGGAAGATGGGGGAAGCTGGATTCACGGACGAGGGATGTCCACAGGGATACGGTACACCGGGATTGAATAACTGACCGATATCTGCACTCATTGTCTGTTGTGTCAGTGTCCCAGGACCAAAGCGACTGTCCGCAGGTGACTGCTGTGTTGATTCCGTTTGACCGTTGGATGGGCACTGATGCACTGCACAAAAGCCCAGAGAAAGGTGCGTCAGCAAAACGGCTCTATGTAGCTTAAGCCATTATCAGTAGTATTAATAATAATGTTACTATTATTAGCAGTAGTAGTAGAAAGTGCTTGAGATCGACCCTCGTCGAACCAACTGATCTAGAAGGGAATGAAATCGAAATGCTGTGAAGGAAATGGGCAATTTTATCAGCTCACCAATTAGGCACACTCAATAGCCGAAACCCCATAAACTCTTCGGTGCTGACCAACCAGAATTTTTGCGTGGGGACACGAGGAGGACTTTTCAAACTGGAAACAGTATAGACGCAAATGCTAAGAATCGTCCAACCAGCTATAAACAAAATGAGATCGATTGCAGGGGTTCTACGAGCACCACTGGCACTTGTTTCTTCATGCAAAGTAATTAATCCAGACGACTATTTTATTACTGATGTTCATAAAATGGATTCTTATCATCTCCAGTGCTTGCAGTTTAAACGTGACAGAACTATCGATTTCAACGCTGTGAGCTTCGAGCAGCGGCATCTAAAAGGTGACGGTTTTTTACCGATCTTGTCCGTATCCTGTCCGTATCCTGTGTTTGTCAGCCCATTCTTTCGAATGAGATCACACTGAGATCACAACGAACTGTCCACAAGACTGTTACCTTTCAAAGGTAAATCAAGAAAGCCTTTCCGTCAGTTGCACTGAGACAGCTTCAGAGTGTAACCGAATCAGTTGAACGCTCACCAGGTTTGCATTGGGCGCCTCCAATATTAGACTTTCATCCAGCATAATATCTGGGATTTGTCAGGGCTAACTATGTTGCTGGAAATTCGCTTCCTGGATGGTGCAGCAATACGCGTTTCCTAGTCCTTCTTGATAACCGTGCCAGTAGAAATCGGCTCGCAACACAACAGCTGTCACCTCGAAATGTTCACCGTTAATCCAAACTTTGGTTTGCCGGAATTGCGTGGGACAGCCGTGACGCTGCTTCAGTCAACTTAAAAATAGTTCGGCCGACTTACACAACAGCCAGCGCAAATATTGAAGTGGATTGAACGTTAGTGCGGATGTGTACCTCACTTGACTGTTCCACCGAAGACTTGCAGCCATTTTGTCACACCAAACAGCGTATGCTTCTAAATTGCAGCAGCTGGTGCGAGCCAAGACAGGTTTAACACATGCTCCAATCGATCGTTCCGACCCAGGTTAGCGTGAGCTTTTTCGTCCTGCAGCCTAACTGCACTCTTTTGCTTAAGGTCATACTACCGCATGAGATCAATGCAACACGTAGCAAGGCCATTTTAGCCATTTGCGCTATCCAGCCTTCAGTAGAGATGCAAAGCGAGGCCGGGTGTAGAAAATCTGCCTAGTTCTGTTGCCTAGCTGAGCTATGTGCTTTGAACAGCTGTCTTTCAGAACATCGCTTTTCTCAAGCATTCAGCTCCCAGGTTGTCTCACTTTTTCTATGAACCTCATAACTATCCTCGTACCTTCAACCATGAAAAAGACACTCGTACATAAAATTCTTTGATTTCCACACGTCGAAAATGCGACCTCCCTGACACAGAACCATTATTGACCATCACTCTGTGGGACCGAATGGGTACAGGGTTGCGCATAATCGTCAGATAGGATGAATAAAACCCAATCAACTCAGTGCAGTATTGAAGATAGTCAAGGTGTCTGTATATCCGAGCCTGTTTCGTATCACTGCCAGTTGTAGCAGGCAGTACAATTTTCAAGCTGGACAATACGGATTGCTCAGCCCCACTGCGGTGGTTAGACCACGACTGGCAAAGACGGTAAACACAGGGCGCAATAACCTGGGCTGAAACGAACAATTGGAGCGCATGTCAAATCCACCGAGGAGTGAAATTCACAAATTGCACGTTGGTCGGTGGGATAAACCAGCAGCCGGCCTTCAGTGGAACAGTCGAATAGTGTCTCAAATCCCGTAGGAAGGTTCGATCCACATATATATCACTGGTTGACTGTCTCTGTGCGAATAGTACAGATGAAATTCACTGTGAAAAAAAAACTAAAAAACAGCATTATTGTACTAAGCCATGAGGAATCAAATGGAATACTTTGGAATGATGAAAACTAAACGGTCTAACAAGAGAATCAGATCACCAGACCAACTCCCAAGTGTACGTAGATTGTATGCTCATGGAAGTGGGTTGTACTCTTCTGTGGGGTTTTGGACAGGCATCTGGCCAATTGCATCAGTTATATGCATTGTTGAAATCGTTCTGCAAAGGTGTCGCACCAGACAACTGGTACTCGCGGGCACTGAAACATACTAAACATCGATCGCTGCAACCCCGGAACACTGCGCTTTCACACCATGCCTCTGCGTTATACCTAGCAGAAACGCTCTACCGAAAAAAATCTACCCATCTAATTTTTCCGGGGTCCGAAGTTCACCTATTGATCCACCGGGCAATTACACGAGTTAAACTCAGATTTCCTAGTTACGTTGACTAGTTATGCTGTGGAAACAGACCGATGGGGCTTGCGTATCTGCCTCACAAAGGAACTATGCTTCCACAGCTTGCTTCGGGATCGTCTGACTACCAAAACATACCTAGTCAAAACATACCTAGAAGCCGCTTCGAAGGGACACAAATGCCCCTTGCCCTTATTTCCATAGTGATCTATCGTCGGTGGATTCATCGTAGATAAAGTATGTATCACCAGACGGAGAGAGGCCACACTCCAGGAGAGGTTACAGACTCCCTTACCCTGTAGGATGTGAATACATTTCATACCCATGGAACTCATCCCGAGGAAAGGTTACCATGCTTGACGACGGTTTATTTCAGTCTATCATCGTGGGCACTGTGTACGAGACAATTGGATAAATCAGGTTATGGAGAATTTAATAAAAACTGGCAACCTGCAACGAAATGTTCAGGGATATTTGACCAAGTCTACCTCCTATTATACATTTTGTGAAACTCGTATCTAATTTCTTCAGCTTTCATCCATGAAAACGAAATTCATCGGTCACTTGGTGACTTCATTAGCATATATAAAGCTCATTCTCGGTTTTATACCTGTTTCTATCCCATTTCTCGAAGCAACGTCATTCTTATTCATATTCCTGCGGGTTAAAGTGGTGCCACACTTTGAAAAGGCTATTGACAAAACCAACCATCTTAATCCATAGTCGTTGCAGGTTTTTAAGGGATTTCAGGTCACAGTTCTAACACGAAAGTTTGCACGCTTTATTCATCTGTTCCCATTAGGGGCCCAAAGAAATAGAACTGAGAAGAATGAACCAAAGAAATAGAATTGAGAAGAATGAAGTCTGATTCGATGCAGTTTTTGCTTATTGTAAGCGGTTTATAAGCTACTGATCCTTATACCTCAGGACGGACCACCAGACACTGTCTTGCGGCCAACGAATAAAATGTTTAAAGGTGCCTGTTAGGTCCGTGATCTTCCTTAGAAAGAAACCTTCACTGTTGATAAAAAACGCTGACTCCCTATGTAGGTGATAACAAATCCTATAGAAATTCGTTGACTCTTTTGGGAAGAGAGTCCTCCCCGAGGAGGTATCTCTTATTGGGGTTATTATAGGCATTTACCTTGAGTTCAGTCATGTCATTCCGCTTCGGTACATGATAAGACCGATACCTATTAGTATATTTCGTCTGTCCACCGACTGGTTAGGTCAGTGTGGATGGAAGAATAGTATGTCGAGATAAGCAAAGTACTCTTCGTTTCAGAGAGGTTTTGTAAACAATCGGTGGATTTATTGTTTACCAAACCCCTCTGAAACGATGACTTCCCAATCAGTCCCAAACATTTTCCAATTGATTGCAAAGTAGTCTTCCTTTGGGGGAATTTACTGGGATAATGGATAATGAAAGAACATGTGGTAGGCAGATGTGAGGAGGGTGGATTTGGTAGTCTTCCAATGGCTCGTTTTGTCAGGAGTAACCTGAGAGTCTTCTTCGCACACGGTTGGTGCTGGCTAAGCTAGCCCAGGCAAGGAAAACCTCGGAGGCGATTGGATGATGGGTGGGAACTCAGGTTACCCGCACACTTAGGGAACCAGGGTACATGAAAACTGAAGCAGCGGTAAATGAGAGGGATGCGACTCGGAAGTGACTTGCACTGACGTCATGTTTAGCCATCTGACAGCGGCTGAGGCACAGTGCATAAGTAATGCTGTTTGTCTGTCACTCAGGCTTCACACATGGGGAAGGATTGGAAACAAATTGAACGAACATACTACTCACTACTACATGGGGAAGGATTCGAAACAGTACAACAAATTGAACGAACATACTACTCACTATGTCGCTTAAAACTCATAACAGATCCCAATCGGTCTCACCACTCTCGGGCTAACTAGTTAGGCTTGGTCCATGGATATCTATCAGCCTTGTTTCTTACTTGAACGCAAATTTACAAACATTCACAAATTAATTTGATTTTGATGGGAGAATCAGTTGACAGCTACCTGAATCTCTCGTTTATCGTAGTCTTCCAATGGATATGCTGCACAAAATCTGCCTCACGTTTCGGTTTTCAACAACCTTACGATTAGTATCGAAACAAACTTCGATATCTTGGATATCGTTCCAAGGGAAATGTGAACCGGGATTTGTAAAGCACATACAATTGAAGGCCATGCTAAGCGAGAGATCCAAGTCAGTTCCAGTTCAGTCTGATGCTAGCATCAGCATACATTGCAAATAAGTGTCGACTGTAATGATGGGCTTACATTTTTAGCATGTGGTACAGCCGTTCTGCCCAAAAGGTCCCTCAGATATGAGTCGTTCTTCAGTCCCACAACTTGTTCGATTGAAACGGAGTGACCCTATAAAGAGCGCTTACCGACGAAGGCTGATCAAAGTGCACAGTCAATGCTAAACAGATGAGTCTCCCGTGAAAACCAAATTGGTGTGCAAATGAGTGTATTTTGCGAACTGCGTCTAGTTTGACCCCAAGTAGAACATAAAGTTGACAGAAATTCGGTAACTCAACGAGCCTCAAGAAGATCGAAATCGGTCCTGGGCTGTCGAAGAATTTTCAGCGACCTCATGATCAGTGTTGCGCCAGAAAAGTGGGAGTGACCAGCCTAGTCACTGGTCACTGACGCTTTCCATGCACACTGACTATTCTGCCCACGCTAACCAAGCTCCAGTAAGTACTCATTGTGCGTGGGTTGTTTAGACTTGTATCTTCAGGAGGAAGTCGGTAGCTAATACCCTTCAAACGCACATAGGTACACCTAAACGAAATGCTGAATCATATTGATACTTATTTGTTTTCTTCAGCACATCATTACCAAAAGATAACTTATGCCAGCGTAGCTGCGCATGGCAATCTGCCCACAAATGTTTTAAACGGTCATGACTATCGAGCATTGCTCGTTTTGTCAGAACTGTGCCACCTCAAGCAATAACATCTTGATCCAACTTGGATAAATAGGGTTACAGGGATGAGGAGTGTGCTCGCAAAATCGATTGTAATGACTAAATTGAGGTCTGTATAGAACAGGTGGCTAGAGAAAAACGTAAACCAGTACCGAACGTGTTGAGAGATTCAGAAATGGTGGGACACGCGGGACATGAAATACATTTTGCAAAGACTGAAGCCTGGAAACGAAGACCAGGATTCACGTAACATCGACTGGCGGTTGAGACGGTCGAAATCGCCAAGAATCTCAGTGTGAGTGGAATAGACAGCGCAGAACTGGCGAGCGTATGAAGAACGGTTCTGGATCAATCGAGCTGACTCGTGGTGATATACGGGTATCCGTGAAGAGAAGTCATCACTATAATTAATTTAGATTTGAACTACATAACCCATGCTAATCAAAAGTACATAATATTAATACCCTAAACAAATTGTCGTAGCATGTACGAAGCCACACAGGCCAACAAAATTTACCAATGTCATTCATGGTGTACCATTAATCGAAGCGCCGCTAATCGAAAGACCATAAACCCAAACTCGATCATAATTGTTTCAACTCGTCCCCCAATCCGCCGACCGTAAGACTCAGGCACCCACATTAGCCGCTAAGATCCTTGAACCGACAAACAGCGCTGATCTAATGTGTTGGTCGAAAGAGATCTTATTGATTGGTTCTGCTTCTGCCTTGAAATTGGGCCAACCTAGTAGCCTACTCACTTGACTTGAAGGTGATTGTGCGTCAAAAGTAAAATGTTGCCTAGCTTTAAATCCATCTAGTGCCCACCAAACTCTTCTAAACCGAAGCTCCATTATTTCGTGCGTTGATCCTGTGACTACCGAGATATCTTCTACATATGTTCTGTAGCGTTTTGACCGTCCAATGAGATTTTCCACTCGCAATTCGATGCTAGCCGTGAATGTATCATCTAGGGCGTGTCCATCTGGGCTTACCATTGCAATCCCTTCAGTCTGTGCGTAAATTTGACCCCGGTAGCTGAAACTGACAGTATATGTGCAAAATAAAAGAAGACGTTTCATTTCGGTTGTTGGTATTCCACGATGATGTCGCTGTTCTGGATAAACCACGCAAGAATTCCACGGTTTCACCTAGAGACACATTGTTAACAAAATTGTGATGTCCAAACTTGTGAGCTATTGACTTTGATCATTCAACTGCGCTGCCGGTATTGCGCTTTGTAGTATACACCTGCAGACCTACAACGATATGTACACCCCGCTATTTCTCCGTCCCTGTGCCCGTTCATAATATTTCTGTTCACCTATGGTAGAAGTCAGACGGTCAGACGCCGACTAACCAACAGTTTTTGGTCTAGCATCGCTCTTTTTATTAAGTCATGGGATAAGTGTGTGAAAAAATAGACTCGTCAACATCTGTCCAAACTATCAATACAAAATGAAGCAAGAAAGCACGAAGTTTGTAAGAGAGTCACATGACAATACAATATGAAGCAAGAAAGCACGAAGTTTGTAAGAAATATCGCCTTTCTCACGCAAAGACTGCCTTTGTCAGGTAGAGACCACCTTCAGTTGTTTTATCGTATCGTCACTGTCTTAGCGCCCCATAGAGCTGTGTGAGTTGGAATGTATGTGCTCTTTCTCATAAAAGTACCGCTTCAGTGCAAAAAATTTCCTTGTGCCGGAGGTAGCACAAACTTCAAACGAATTGGTTATACCCTAGTCTGCTGTAATAGACTATGATATGTGTCATGACTATGTAAACCATACTCTTCATATATCATTAACTGGTAATTTTCACTCCCCTATTAAAAGTAACCTCGCAATTTTCTTTGAACGGTAGGCTTGAAGGAGAACAGAGTCAGACGACTACTCTTCGAGAAGCCCACCTTTGCGGGAGAGAATATTTCCCATCGCAACATTCTTAGAGGTGAAAATGCATTTATTAGTTCAGTGTATGGCTATAGTATCTCTCGCAAATCATCATCAGCAGCAGCAGCAGAAAGCAGACTTAAGAGGCTAGCAGCAACGTAACAGCGGTCGTCACAGGTGGGGTTCTCACAAGAACTACTTCGCAACACCAGATCGCACGCCCAACATACAATTATATTCTATTTTCGTTCTTATATGGACAATGCTGGGTCATATTTCACGTCTGCTGTGACCCCAATTATAAGGCGGACCTATCAGGTTCACACATACTGTGTCAGTTAAGTATATAAAAAATCACTGAATATCGCCATAGGTTTTCGTCACACTCGAAAAGGTTGGATAAAACAGCTGCAGACAACTGAATTGTCTGTTAGATCGTGAGCGGCACCATCAAAATCAACCTCATCATTATCATTATTGTCAGAGTCAGCAACAATAACAATAAGGTCCTCATCATCACCAGAAGCAGAACCGTCAGTGTTGACGCTGATGCTTCACTGCTGTAGAGCTCCATACTTTCTCTGATTACGTATAAAGCCCAGAAGCAGACCGTCAGTGTTGACGCTGATGCTTCACTGCTGTAGAGCTCCATACTTTCTCTGATTACGTATAAAGCCCTAAAGGGAGGACGGATGGGGAAGGGTAGTGGACCCAGTCATAGGCATTATGAGGTCCCTACATCAGCAACATCCAAACTCTTTATTATCTCTTTCACGCCCTTCTGCCATGTCACGTTGTGTAGCAAGTAGCTTGCGCCATTCTGAAGAAAGCACGTGGAACAACACTAGTCTCGGTCGATGATATCTCGGCATGTGTAGCTCGTGGCCAAGCCACTGCAGTTGAAGATACTGGAGTACAACCGGATATCAACCTTCTAGCTACCTGGTTACTAATTCACCGGCAGAATCCGATATAACCAACGTTTCTGAGATATCGGTACCAAAAAACCCGAGAGATTCGGCTGGGTTCAAGGTGAGTCTCTCGCAAAAACCGAATTGGTTTGCAAATGAGTGGATTTCGCTAGACTTCGAGGTGTTTAGGTTCGTTAATGAAAACGGACGCGCAGGAGCTACGGATGGGCGTGGTGCAAAGCGAACAAAGCGGTCAGTCCCAGTGTTGGGGTGGAAGGAATGTGCAAAAGCGTAAGAAGGGCGGTGTCAGAAATAGCTTGCTTTCTCTTACTAGTTCCGCTGCATGCAGCGGGTAGTCGACCCAGCTGGTGGCAACTACCGACGTCGTACCAGGGTAATGTCGGTTGTGAAATTCGCGGTTGTACGCTAACTGGGATACTATGAGGGCACCCACAACTTAGCAGGAGAGAAATTAGGGCCATCAAGAATGCTTTTGGCTAAAAATCCCAACCGCAAGTCAGCGAGTGATTACCAGTATACCATCATAGCAGCACAGGATTTTAAGGCAGAAGTCGCCATACATGATCCAACCCAAACCTAGTAGGCTATGACAGTGTTTTGTCAGAACTCCATCTACTGATTAACTTCGCATAGGGAACTCTATGAGTGCTAAAGTGAGTGTACCTCAATGAGTCACAAAGGCGCCCAAACCGCCCCGCCATGCCACGCCACGATAAGGCCTAATCTCTGCGAGGAGCTTCAGAAGTGGTTCATGTTAGTCATCTTTCTCACAAGGGACTACATCCCACGATGTACTTTCCAAATGGATCTTCTTGTAGCGTGACAATACTGTGTTGCGAAGGTATCCAAACTGATTATCAAACAAACCCAAAGAATGATAGGCAAATGGAGTATTCCGGGATATGGAATGTGGCACACAAATCCGAGCGATACCTGATATCAACAAACAACTCACAAAAACCACAAAAAATATATCTCCCCCCGAGGGCCCTCATTTCGACAAACGGGAACAAAATCCGGGTAATGAGAAGTGGCTTATCCAACTCAAAACCTGAGATTAAATGTTGCTGGTACGTCATATTCCTTTTATTCATTAAGACTAATGTTTTCATAAAAGGCGTTCCCGAGTCCCGAAAATTCCAGTCACACGATGCGTTTCTCCTGTCTGAGGTTCATCAGGTAGGCGGAGAGAGGTCGATCATGTGAACTATCGGTTAAAATTTTCAAGCTCGCCCTCTTCAGACCAGGCGAGCGTCGGCTATTGATACAGATATGAAACTTAGTTTGGGCTCGCCTATTCAGGCCTATTCAGACAATATTCAACAATAAACTGCTCACGGCTTACCAGAATGATTTATCTGAATTGTCCTCAGCGAGGATCGGTGACTACTCATACAAATCATTCCAACCATTGAACTTGGCGGTCACATAACTGTTTGAAACACGCAATTCCTAAATTGTTATTCACTGCAGGTGCACCATTCCCGCTGTCATGAGTGCGTGACATTCAAAGAATGAATGCGGTGTGAAACCGATTTTAACCTTTAAAAACTCCAAGGAGCTGCGTGAATTTCACACACACACGCACACATACAAACACCTTAACAAAAAATTGACATCCTGTGACATGCCACCTCGGTTGATGATGGAATTGGAATCTCTCACTTTTCCCACACCAGCTCTGTTGTGAAGCGTGTCTTCGAGGGGGAGTGCACAAACTTGTTCCGAAACAAAACAGACAAAATAGCTTTTGATCATCATGACAGTAGATAGTTGAGCTACTACGTGTCGACCGTATCTATGGAATGTCACTTCGTGTCAAAGTAAGTGACTTGTTCAGCGGAATAAAACGAGCGATTGAGAAATACAATGGGCGCTTTTTGACCAACTTCGACAATACGCACTGCGGAAACGCATATGGCTCCAACTGTAGGTATGTTCTCACCATAGCAAAAACACACTGGTTATCTACAGATGTTGGGAAGTGAACAATGGCGGGACAATCGGAACTCCGTAGCACTCTAAGTAACTCCGTTTGGGCTCATGAACACGAATAAGCACATCTATTGGGAACCCTCACGGATCAGGAAGGCATAATGGGAGCATAAGGTGCTTTGACTTTAGCTAAACTTTTGATTTGGAAAACCAAATCACTGTGACCAGTCGACAAATCCCCTCCGTTGAGAAAGAAGGCTTTCGAGCGAGAGAACCTAAGTACGACTCCCTCGTTCCCCAGTAAATACGTGGACACTCCCTACAGGCGTATACAAGCCCACTGTCCCACCCCTGTCACGATCGCTGGGCTGATCTGCCTACTGTGGTCATGCGCGCGGTTAACAAAATTTATGTGATCACATTTGACCGGATGTTTACTTCACACGCTGACCAGCGCATCCTCATATAAACACAAGGATTGTTGTTACACGGTCTGCGTATCAATGGCTCCACTGTGGTTGCTTCCCCGGCCGCGATCCGTACACATTAACTTTGTCGAGCTTCATCCAGCTGTCCCGTGTGTTGATTGCCATGACTGTATTTGCGATCCGGTTGACCAGTTGCAGAATGCCAAGGCTAAACAAAAACCAACCACCGCATCGGCCAACCTAGATAGCATTTAGCCGTGGCACACATGGTGGCTACACGGGTACACGCGTACAACACAGACAGGTTGCCACAGTGACAAGCTAGTCATCATTGTCCACCTAAGTCAGTGTGACAGCCTCTGGTCTGGCATCACAGCGGTGCAGTGCGCGGAACTGTAGTGCTGGTACTGCTTTGGGTTTGGTGGAAACGAAAAGCATGCGTGTCGTGTGCGCCAAGGCCCTTAGAGAACAGTCCAATCTAGCTGAACAAAAGAACCGAATACCTCCGCAAGTTCTAGTCGCACAATTTTATACGAAAAGCCATGATTTATCTAGAGACAATGAGCGCCCGTACGACAGGCTGGCATTCAAACAGCAGTATGACAAACTGAGAACGTGACAGTAATGTTGCTTTTCCGTTTGTCTGTTTGTTTGTCGTGCGCGGAAAAAATCTCCACAAATCCTTAAGACGAAGGCGAATAACATGTGTGCCGCAAGGAAAATCTGTTTACCGTTCGTTGGGTGTTTGTCGTTAATTACCGCATCGCCAGAGAACAGCGGGTACTCTATGTGTGAGACATGACAAGTGTGGTAATAGTAACTATAATATTACCATTAACTGGCCATTTATTTCTCGCATTCCGAAAAAAACGAGAATAATAAACGGTTGGAGGCGGGCGAAAAGAGGAGGCAATTGGAGGCGGTTCCACTGTGTACACGGTTCGTGGGGGGAACAGGCTTGTACGATGTTAGACCTTGAACGAACAGGAGGGGATTTTGTGATTTATGGCGGCCAGTTTGGAAATTACATTGGTACACATGAAAACGGAAAGACGGCTGACAAGACGAGAGAACTGGGACATTTCGCTGCCGGTGGACATCCCATTTTTGACAAAATTTATCTATTAGCCCGAACTGTGTTTACAACATCCAAGAGAAAGAGTTCGTCTAACCAAATTAGGCTGAACATTCCTATGCCAGAGGCAAAAGTAATGTATAAATCATTAAATACAACAGTCTGGTTTGTTCATTTATAAAGTTACTGTCTCCAAATGACAACTATCAAGATGCTTGGGAGAGGATGCTTAATTTAAAGATTATCAAGCGACGAACAGAATTCGTCAGAACCGCATCGAAACAGATGGATTATAGATGTGAGTACTGGAATTCGGTACGGCCCGAGTTACGTCCTGTTTCAAGCCTCAAACAGATGTGCTTTTTCATGGCATCATAAGCATTTTATAACCACTTGATCTCAACTTATATTGTTACTCCCCACGCTTCTAATGGTGTTCTTGAGTTTTCGAACCACGGGCGTTCCTACCAGGATGAAAAATCCTCTACATCTTGGATGGAAAGAATGCTTTGTCAATCCCGCAGCTCAATCGGAACTCCTGTGACGTTGTAATGAAGGCCAGTGAGATAACCGATTCGAATATACGACCGATTGTGGACGTACGTTTCCAACGCTGTCGCTCTTGGTCACAACTAAAAGTACTCCATTTCAAAGCAGATCCCGTTAAGCTCGAACCTATCAGGGCTCTGAACTAAACTACTATAGTGAGTGTAGGTGCGAAAGCATCAAACTGCAAAACATATCTACACTGTTCATATAGGTTCACCCACAGAAGTAAATTTGTCACTTTATCAAACCGAATGTGCTACTCAGTGTTTGCCACGTCCGTCTACACATTATGAAAAAGTGGCATGGTCAATCGCCACTCGAACAACAGTACCCTTTATATGACTCGTTTTATTGTCTGCTGTACGCAATAACTATAACGGGGACTTCGCAAGAAAGTATTACGTTTTACCTTTCCGAATGATTCTGAACAATTTTTCAGACATCAAAACCGAGAGATTGAGCTGGGTTCCAGGTGAGTCTCTCGAAGAGCCAAATTAGTTTGCAAATGAGTGTATGTTCGCTAACTTCGTGCAATTTGGTTTCAAGTAGAACATGATGTTGACGGAAACTCGGGGACTGCGCCTACCTGATGAGCCCCAAGAAGGGCGAAACCGGTCTTGGGCTGTCGAGGAGTTTTCAGCAACCCTATGGGTAGTGCATTGCAAAAGTTTAAGACAATTGAATATCATTCTGTACAATAAGTGATTACTACTTTCAACTTGTTATTGAACGTTCTGTATTAAAAAAGGGATTTCGCACACTAGTCTTGGTGTATTAGGGTATAATGCCCCGATCTCCAGTCGAAACCATTCCAATCAAGAGATCAATCCGACCTCAACCACGCAACAGGGTGATTTGCTCAACATCAGTGACTGGATACTTCACAGGAGTAGAGTCTGGGTTGAGAGAGAGGTATGCAAATCACCATCTCGACTAATGTATCCATTCACACAGTCAGCTACCCGGTACTGTGACAGCTGACTAACAGCGCAACTAGCCGTTGAGAGATGCACCTTCGGCCAACGGAAGAGACAGAGAGTTACACTCACCACGTAGACCAAGCCAGCCAGTCCTACATACCGCTGAATGTATAAACAGCTGGAGACAGCCAATCCCTAAGTAAAAGCCCATTTCGTTAAAAACTCAAAACTTATACGGAAAGCCAAACGAGTCCTTTATGCTCGTTCTGTGTTACGCTGTTTTTGTGCATTCTAAACTGTCTGAAGCAATCACTTGCAGTGAAGCGGTCGCGACCGAACTGACTGTGCTAGTAGCAGGTTTCTGCTTGGTTCCGCTGATTCCCTGCTGTCAGGGCGCGCTCAGACAGAAGAAAAAGTACATGTGCACAGAGTGACGCATCCCCAAGGTCACCATCGGTTCGACATGTCCGGAAAGTAGGTGAGTCGGCGGCTCCCACCAAACACGCCCCAGCAACACACGACCAGCGTACTGGGCCTGAGAATGTTCACGACCGGAACACCACCATTGGCTGTATGGAGCGAACAAGTGAACGACCATATTTGGCCGTTTAGTCATCCCATATATTTACGCAGAGGGTCTTATAGACAGCTGGAGACAGCTATGTCCCCAGTTCTCTGTCTTCTCCCTATCGCGTAGTCTGGCAGGCGCAGTGCAGGCCTAACCCAATAGCTCGGCCACCGCACAATACAACACCTGCCGTTTCGGTTGAGCGGTTGTGGATGGTAACCTCTCACTTTGTGAATACACTTCATATTGGCAGGCAGTTACTCCTTATAGATCAACTTGTGGCGTTCTAAAGGGATTTTGCTCATTGAAAATTCCGTACGGAAGTAAGCATTTGGTTCACCCAGAGTAACGCGTCGAAAAGAGTATTGCACTTCGAGAGGTTGGCTATGAGGATATATTTACGGCTAGTGGGTGAAAATACAACAAAGTAGGTTAATTGGTTATCACTTTCAGGCGCAATCGAGTGACCGTCCGGATTACAAGTTCCTAGAGAAGTTGGCCACTTTCCAAAGTAGTTTCGTACAATTCGAGTAGGTATGGTAACGTTAGCCAGGATAAGCTCCCTCGTCGAATACTACAATGTAAAGAAAGCTGATTTACCAAAGAGATGCTACTCATAAAGTTGCTGAAAACTCCTCGATAGCCCACTTCTTCTTGGGGATCATCGGGTACATTTTTCGAGTTTCCGTCAACCTTATGTTCTA